GGGGGGGGGTTGGTAAATCTGCAGTTTGCTTTGTTGGAATTGAGTTAGTTTTGATTTTGTTGTGTGCTTGGACTTCTATGGTTTCAGGTCAGCCAATATACAGGAAGGATTCACCTGTACTCATGTATTCCTGGAATTGATTCCAGGCCAAAACCACTTTTTAAAAATTTCCGGCCAGAGGAAGTTCATCATATACTGCCTCCTCTAAAGGAAGCCGAGAAAACAGCTTATAACAATATCAAGGATGATATGAGTTGTCGGTACGCTTTAGTGGAATTTCTCAAAGAATGGAGCAAGTTGAGTGCTATCGAAAGAAGGAAATTAATTGGAAAGGCCTTGCAACTTCCATTATCTGTTGAGTTGTCCTATTTAAATGAAAACCTTAACCACGATAATGGGGTATGTTATTTGCTTCTTTCTTTGTCTTTGGGTTTGTTCACCAATCATTGACCTTTCATTAGTGACCTACCTCTGCTTACATCTGTTTTGACTCGTCAGGGTTGGAAGGTTTTGAACTGTGCTTAACATGTAATGGGCTTTTCTTTCAGGGACTGCTGAAAGGTAGAAGTAAGAGGAGGACAACACCTTTGGACGAAATTAGCTATCCGTTACCACCAAACGCTGTCTGGAGGAAGGTCCATCTTTGTACTGGGAAAGGGAAGCAAGAGAAGATATACATGCAGGGGTGGTCTGACAAGGATGAACCACTCTGCAAGCTTTGTCAAACTCCTTGCAGGTGAGTTCAAAGTATCATTTTGGAAAACATGAGGAGGACAATTTTTGGGTCACTAATGCTTCATTGACTTTTCGTGTTCAGGAATAGCAATGCCAAAACTCCGGACTACTTTGAGGATCTCTTCTGTAGCTTGAACTGCTGCGAGGAGTATCACCTTAGAACTAATAAATCATCAATTCGTAATGTATGTTTTTACTTGTATTTTTACTAAAACGAGTTTTACACTTGCAAGAAACCCTTTAATTGATCCCTGATACTTTTAGGCGCTTTTCCAAATTGAGCATGGCATTTGCACAAACTGCCGTCTAGACTGCCACAAACTTGTGGAGCGCATCAGACCATTGTCATTTGAGAGTCGTGAAGAGTATATTGCCAAAGTAGCCCCAAATTTGGCAAAGCGTAAGAAATTGTAAGTTTACAGATTAGAATTACATGGTTTACATGCCAAGGTCTTAGTTTTTTTAAATCAAATAGCTTGCTTTTCAGTGTGTACATGTATGTAAAATTAATACATGTGTGTCGAGGCAGTCGTTGGCTTGATTTAAATTTCTACTAACCATCTCAAGAAAGAGAAATTGACGAGCCAGTGTCAGTTTTATGTTTAAGCAAAATGTGTAGCTTGTGCGTAACAAGGAACAATCCATTTTCCTGTGCCTTCTTTTTTAAGTTAATTCTTTGTGTTCCTCCTGGTACTAGTTTCATTTTCTTCCCTTTGTCTGTTTAGTCCTTATTCAACCATTTTGTTTTATTTCTTTTTCCTTTCTGATGTTATTTGTATATTGAGTTTTTGGTATAAATTCATCATGGATATCTTCAGCTATTGATAACATACATATCGGTTTTTGTTAGAGGGAAGGATCTATCCTAAGACATTCTGTTCTTCAAGAACATAGAAAGTAATGCCAGTCTACTGATCTAGGAACTACATACCTCGATGGTTTACAGTTTCACTTTAATACTACACATTAAACAAACGGAGCTCTTGAGATGTTTAATTACCTAACAGTTCTTATGTGCTTAAATTGCCCCCTTCCCCCCAAAACACGCACACATATAACATATAATTAACTTCAAGCATATATGTTAAACTAAGGGAGATTTTGGGGAGTTTAACTACTTGAACAGTTCTCGTTTGTTTAAACAGTCCCCTGTACATCACAATACCCTTGGTCAAACTAGAAAGTTTGAAAAAGGGTGGGAGGGCTAGTGCAAATACACAAAAGAACTATCTACTCCATTTTGCTGCACTCGATGTATTTGCTGGAATACCAATTAATTCTTGCACTTTGCAGATTTCAAAAACTTGTTCAGGACCCTATTGATGGCAATGCATGGCATGCGGATCACATAATACCTGTATATCAAGGGGGAGGTAAATAATTAGGCACTTGCAAATTTTTTGTTCGAGGGTCATCCTCTTGGAGTTCTTGATAGATTTACCCAGATAATCTCTGGTTCTTTCAACTCTCTCTTCTCATTTCTATTTTCTGTGGTAGCAAATTTTCCTCTCTTTCCCCTCACCCTCCAGCTTCCTCTTTCCACTGTAGTCCACACCCATAGCTTCTTGTCTTTTGAAATTCTTGCAGGTGAATGTAGGCTAGAGAACATGAGGACACTATGTGTTGCTTGTCATGCTGATATCACTGCCGCGCAACATACAGAACGGCGTTTGACCAGACTTGTGGCAAAGAAGAAACTCAAAGCTGTCATGAGTAACCTCAAAAGTACTAAGAAACCCAAGCAGAAAGTGGATGAAGCAGAGGTGTGCTTTTCTAGATTTCACTGGTTAAATCATGTGTAGCTTTATTAACTTACGCTCCATTTGTTATTAGAACTCTCATCTGGTCAGCTAGATTGTCATTTAGGTAAGGATCTGAGGAAATTATAATGGGGGAAACGTACAGATATTTATCCAAATGAGTTGGAAGTATTTGCAAATTAATTAACCTTTAAATCATGTTTGGCCTATTGATGTGACAATCTTATGTGCGGCTTTTTGCCACTTATATCATATGTAAGTTCTTTTTCTATTTTGCTATGTATTTCAGGGTTCACGGCACTCTGACATTGAAAAGAACAAGGATGAGGATGAACTTCTAGTGAATGTTCCAGGGAGTTCATATTCTATTAGCAATGGAAGCCAAGAACGAGGAAATTCAGAGTTGAAGGCTAGCACTAATGATGATTTAGGTGAGGCGTCATAATGAATGACGTGCTGCCCGCTGCATAACTTACCTCAGTCATGAAGAGAACCAGTTGTAAAAAATTTTGGGATGTTACACTTATTCTTCTTGAAGAAATAAGGAAATGTGAGTGGGCTAGTATATTATAAGACTAGAAGAAGCAAATGAATTGCACTATCATAATCCTTGTCATACCGGTTCTTGATCGAGATACCTGTATCTATGAATTTGATCTTATATTGGGGTTGTTTGCGCTTAATAATGCGCCTTTCGACCTTTCACTCCATAATTAGTCCAGCTCTCAAACGCAGGTTGCCATGGTAATCATGCTCCCCAGATCTCCAGTTTGTTACTCCCATGCTTCATCCAAGACTAATGTCCATAATTATACTGTGAACAAGTTCCTTCAATCCAAGGGTACAGTAATTGGAAGATGGAGAAACTATGCTCCCAGTAGACATGAAAACTACAGTTAAGGGTTGGTTGATCACACACTACTTGGCAACATATACAAAACTGTTTTGTTTACATTCCAAGAACTCGGTATACAATAACCGTTATCATAGATAGGAAGTTATGGTTGTAACCAGACACTCGAAAAATGCTTTCCTCGAGAGAAAATGAGGGAGAGGCTTTAGGATTTTAGTAGCGCAGTAATATATTACTTTAAGATCACTACTAAAACCAAGCAACAGCTGCTGCATCTATCTTACTACTAGTTACTAGTGCCTAAAGGAATCTACATCCTCAATTTTTGTTCTAAGTGGGTGTCAGCAGAGCAAGTGAAGACTTTTCAACTGCCACATTGTAAGTATTGAACGGCTAAATCTTTCTTGACCAGTTCCGAAGCGATAACTAGTATATCGCCGTAAAGAAGATTAGTGTCATATACTGTGCTTATTTGGCATTAAGCACTCAAAAGAATGGATATACTATACAGTAAGTAAACTCATAACTCTCCATTCTCATTGCAGATAACTGCAGCAAAAAACTGCTCTGCTTTATCAAGTACATCAGTAGATAATCTAGAGTGCAACATCCATGCGGCAGTACTCTCAGGTACAGATGAATTGCTCTTCAGACCCTTGCCTTCACAAGGCTTCAACACTTTATTGTCTCTTAAGCTTCGGATTCTGCCAGTTCTAGTAGTTGGCAATGGACCACCTCTCTGGGAAAGGGCCCTAGCATTGCGTTGATTGTTGCGATTTGATCTCAGTGGGACATCAACTTGAAGGCTTTTAGATTCAGGAACCAGCTGAGCAGATGCACCAGTCTCATCTAGTGATGGATTATTAGGTACTGTAAAAGAATCAGGTGATGGAAGATTACTTCTACAAGCTTTCAGCAAAGCAAGGAGCATATCTGTGCTGAGTTCTTGCTGAATGACATTCTTATTCTGTTCACATCCAAAGCAGGCAGCAACCATGGTCCCCGCCAAGACTGGCATTAACTCAGGATCGCTAAAGAACACAAAAGGCAGGTCGCATACCTGTGCCACACAATCCACAATTAAATATGTGTTTTAGGTGAAGTCTTAAGTTGAACAGAAGATTCACGTACCTTGTGAAGAATTGTAGGGCTCTTTCCCCATCGAAGAACAGCTTGGTTGTCATGATGGAACAATGAAAAATAACTAAGAAGCGACAATGATTCCAGCAGCAGCAAACCAATCTGAGACACAGAATGCCCAAATAGAAAAGACTATATTAATCAGTCCTGTACTTTGACAACAAGCAAATAAATGTGAAAACAGTGACTCCCAACAAAATTCTAAAAAACCATTAACCGTTAATGCTGCTCTAACAGGAAACTACAATTAACTGTTATTATTTCGATGGTTTCCGTTGATGGTACCGATAAATTATCTTTTTCGTTTTCTTGAGCCGAGGGTCTATCGGAAACTGCCTCTCTACTCCATCGGGGTAGGGGTAAGGTCTGTGACACGCCCCAAACCTGGGGAGACGTGGTTGGCACCCGGTGCTATACTGGCCCGAGCGAACCACTCTGTAACTCATTTTTTCTTCTGCAACTATCATGGGCCAACATAGCCACAACTCGTAATGTATAACTATAAGTGGGCAAACACTGTATCAATGAACCATTGCTCCTAAAACATGAGTACATATGGGCCGTCAAGGCCTCCGACATACTGTACATAATGAACTTGTGTCTACAAGCCTCTAAAAGTATTTGACATCAAATGGGACAGGGTACAGGCCTACCCATAAGTCTGTAGCAAAACTCCGACACGATGACTTATAGACTCGGCTGCACTCCGAATGAGGTGGAGTCTTACTGATCCTTCGCTGAATGCTAGCCTTGTCTACTATGAGGGCTTGTCAAACTGATTATCTATATCTGCAAGCATGAATGCAGCGTCCCCAACAAAAGGACGCCAGTACGAATAATGTACCGAGTATGTAAGGCATGTAAATAAGTATATAAAGAACATGGAAGAAAATGACTCAACCTATAAGTCTGGATAGCTCCGTAAATCATGAAATATTTATAATGTCATGCATATGCGTATGAATGTCATATCATGCATAGGTCTATACGTACATAACATCATCAAGCCTCTGGAGGCATCCCATCATATTATCTCAGCCACTGTGGACAAAATTATCATCCCTTTTCCCATACGCCATATACATATAATATACGCGTATATAACGTCATCTGACCATGGATAAATACACATGTATAAATGAATGCAATGCATAATGAAGTAAGTCAATACAATCTCTTGGAATATCATGAGACCCATGAACACACGATATAACATTAAGACACGTGAGGAATCAAGAACATGGGCACCTCTAGTACTTCTATGAATAGAGTCATTTATGAAAGTTGTGCGTTTACTCGTTTCGTTTGTATCGTATGGATCATGCCAAAAGGAAAGAAGGGATAGCCTTAACATACCTGAGCCGATTCATTTGACAACTCATCCAACGCATCCCGTAGTACCTCAATCTTATATACCAAAAACTCCTCTTCTTTTACCTTACTTCACTTTGAATAAAGCCTCGATTCAATAACGCGATACAATGGAACAACGAGGTCAAAGCGATGAGGAAAGCTCGTATCTTAATTGAATAACGTTGCTACGGTTAATGAATGTGCTGCCACAATTCAAGTAAAAGAACTTTTCATAGTATAGGAAAGAACCAACTTTTGTTGCGGCCTCTATTCTAACTAAGGAACTAATCTATCTCAAGTAATATTTTAAGATAACTCATAACCTCTGGTCATGGGTAAATGCACATGTATAAATGAATGCAATGCATAATGAAGTAAGTCAATACAATCTCTTGGAATGTCATGAAACCCATGAACAAACGATATAACATTAAAACACGTGAGGAATCAAGAACATGGGCACCTCTAGTACTTCTATGAATAGAGTCATTTATGAAAGTTGTGCGTCTACTCGTTTCGTTTGTATCGTATGGATCATGCCAAAAGGAAAGAAGGGATAGCCTTAACATACCTGAGCCGATTCGTTTGACAACTCATCCAATGCATCCCGTAGTACCTCAATCTTATATACCAAAAACTCCTCTTCTTTTGCCTTCACTTTGAATAAAGCCCCGATTCAATAACGCGATACAATGGAACAACGGGGTCAAAGCGATGAGGAAAGCTTGTATCTTAATTGAATAACGTTGCTACGGTTAATGAATTTGCTGCCACAATTCAAGTAAAAGAACTTTTCATAGTATAGGAAAGAACCAACTTTTGTTGCGGCCTCTATTCTAACTAAGGAACTAATCTATCTCAAATAATATTTTAAGATAACTCATAACCTCTTAGACCATGTGGTACACTTCTCCTGTATAGTACATATGAATTGTCCACCTCCTACACAACCACCGTATCACCTATGTACAACGAGGTCAAAGCAATGAGGAAAGCTCGTATCTTAATTGAATAACGTTGCTACCATTAATGAATTTGCTGCCACAATTCAAGTAAAAGAACTTTTCATAGTATAGGAAAGAACCAACTTTTGTTGCGGCCTCTATTCTAACTAAGGAACTAATCTATCTCAAGTAATATTTTAAGATAATTCATAACCTCTTAGACCATGTGGTACACTTCTCCTGTATAGTACATATGAATTGTCCACCTCCTACACAACCACCATATCACCTATGTACAATGAATGAGTCATTCCTTCATTTGGTGTTATACATCCACGTGGAAAGGTGCCCATACCTAATTATAGTAAGGTCCTTTAATACACATTAGTCATATCTTTCTTTAGTTGCCATGATTCCATGTGGACAATAAATTTTTTACTTATCCACCCCAATAATTTGATGATTAAGACACTAAAACTCCCTGCCACCTAGCTCCAAAACTTGCCTAGTCAATGTTAAATTCCCTACTTGCTGCCACGTAAATGCTTATCCACCCCAACAATAGAAGGAAAGATTGCAATCTCCTTTCTCTCTCTCAAATTGCCAAAGAATAACATGAAAGCTTAAGGCTTGCCTTTCACGTGTAAGCAAAGCACACCAGATATGATTCATGTGCACATTAGTGCCACCCTTGGCCTAACTTAATACATGTGGCAGCCCCTTAACCATCCTTATCCACTTAATTTAACAACCCTTTGGAGTGGATGAGTCATAGGAAGTGATACTAATATACATACACGTATATGGCACCTTTACCAAGTATCTTTCCCTTATCCAAAAGTACTTCTATTAAAATATTAAAATAATAAATCATGGTACCATATAAAATTAATACATATACTAATACTCCATTAAAACATCCATGAANAGTATCAAGGTTGTTAAACTTACGGGGTCTTATAAGAACATAGTCGCAAATCCTCTATAATCTCGTGAATGGTCTTAGTCCCTTCAAGCTCATATGGATTACTATGACTTATCCTAATATTAAGGTACGGGATGTAACAGTCTGCGTATACACTATCTTCCCCAAACCCCTTACTTGTGGGATTTTACTGGGTTGTTGTTGTTGTTGTTGTTGCTCTCTAAAAGGAAACTACAATTTTTCCTAATAAAATGCTGTATCCAAGAACATTCTCATTCAATTCTGGAATCCAGAAAAAGTCAAACAAGACTGAGATACCTTAACATCACAAGGGATAAGTCATAACTTATTTGAACAAGGGCCAGGTGGTAATTATGGACAGAACTACAACAGGGAGCCATCCAATCACCAAGATCCGTTTTGCTATTGACCCTGTATGTTTAAGATCTTTTATGTATTATGCGAGGGTAAATTTTTTTTTTTTAATAAGTTAATTGATATTATTAGCAATGGGAAAGCTCCCGGATACAACAGGTATACCAAAAAGGTAGAGAATCTACAACTTGAGGGTAAATATCTGCCGAGCTATTTTTCATAAGGTTTCTGCCTCAAGATCTATCTTAATTGGAGAAGTTCACAGGTCTGTTTGATTGCTGACTTGCTGTTTTGATATTTACATGTCAGAAAAGTTACAGAAGGTTCCAGACAAACCAAGTCTATCCAGAATGAGGCGATCAAGAAAGTCCTACCCTGGAAAAAAATATCTTAAGATCCTCTCCTTCCTTTTCATTACAAACAAAGCAAAGGCGCTACTTTTAGCCCTTTCAAGAATATGAAGGCCCACGTGACACTCGGCGTTAACACTCCCAAATCTGGAAATCCTTCTTTCCAAAACCATATTTGATGATATAAACGCGAAGTTTATACAATGTTGAGCATCAATGTAGACCTTCACAGAGTAAAAGCCTCACGCTGTGTCTTCTCATTACTAGATGGTTGCAATTCATATCTAGGAATTGCGAATTTAATTATATAATTTATACTCCTTTATCAAAGAAATATTATTTATACAAGAAAATTCGGTGTTTCTAAGAAACGTATGACAACCATCAAGAAACACAGTGACAATCTCTCCTATCGTCCGTCAGCTTAAATGGTAAGCAAACGTGAGTTAGGATTTCTTTCCAAATGAAAATGGACAATCTCTCTTGCACTTTCCAACCCTCCAACCAAAAGGCACGGTGGCTTTCCAAGACTAGCATAAACAGCACCTTTCTAAGTCCAATAAACTTGTGAGGTTTACAATATGAAGGCCAAAACATGAAAGCAAAAGCATCAGAAAAAAACCTGGTCAGTTGCTCCGCCCCACTTGCTCGTGCAATGAGAGAGAAGAAAACTCATCAAGTGAAAGAATTCCATCTTCAGATCTGGTCGGGCCTGTGATCCAGAAAAGAGAATAAAGAGTCACTTTATTAACATCTAAAACTTTTAGAAAGGGAAAGTTGTTTGATGCAAAAAATTCCAAATTGACTTACGAGCATCTTCTGGACAAAAGATATGTCTATTAATGCTAAATTGTTCAACACTTTTAGTACACCAGTTGCCACATCTTCAAAATTGGATGGAAGGACAAATGATGCCTGCAAAGAAAGGTTTCAGTAAGATTAAGTGGTAGACACAGAGATAAGCAGACTATGAACGCAAGTAAACTCAAGGTTAGGTTTCATCTTCCTTTAACATAGGAACAGTTTCAAACAATTACTTCCCGTACTAGAAGGATTTAATGTTACATGCATAAGGTAAAGAAGTTTAGTAAAGAAGACAACAAAGTAGCAAACAAATATGAGGTTCGACTACATCCTAATGCTTACAGATAAAACCCAGTAAGATTCATGGACTACAAAATTGCACACAATCAGCCGTGCAGAAAACCTCAAAGCTGGATTTTACAAACAAATTTAATGAAATTCACGAAGTTCACCTGTTCAGAACATCTATTGTTAGCCTGCAATAATACAGCTGTCAACATTGACGGAAGACAGACTAATCCAGTCTCAGATATGGCAGAAAGAAGAAACTTTACAGCCTGCTTCAACACTGATGCATTTCCACTGATATGACCTTTACTATTATCTTGAGATTTCTTCTCGTCCAGTTGAAGGGTATCATATGTCACGATGGTTGTAGATTCCTGCAATACATCTGCAGTTTCCGTATTAGCAGCAAGTAAGTCAACTTTGTCAGAGTTCTGATCAATTACAACTGAGCCCTCATTTTCTTTTATTTTAGAAAATTCATCCAGGGGCCTATCCTCCGGTACATCCGGCAAAGACGAAGCTACTCCTCCATTTACTGCAGGAAATACCAATTTACCATCATTCTGGGAATTGCACAAAGGAGAAGAAGACTTCAAGTCTGCAGCTTCAGCAAGTTCGATGTCGCTCTTTTCATTACTTCGAGTTGATACAGTAGGAATGTTTTTACATGTTATTGAAGACACATTTCTGAATCTGGATGTAAGAACTGCCAACAGATTTACGCCAAGGAGGATTGATGAAGGGAAAGGTGAACCCTCTACAGGTGGTCTATCATAAAGTGCAAAAAGATCCCTTAACCGGTGAATAACTTGGTATGCAATTACAAGCTCAATCAAACCATCTTGCAGTTGAAGGGCACGTTCATCCGAACTTGCATGACCAATGATTGCTGCAGCAGTCCAAAGGAAACCATCCAGAATTTCAGAGATTAACTCCAATCTGTCAGTTGATGTCTTACAGGTAACCAGGTTGGCAGAAGCAGATCCATTTGATGAGGCTGCAATTTTGATGTAGTTTTCAAGAGCTGCCGCCAACATGGGGATTATAGGGGGCAGTAGATTCTGAGCAAGAAAATAACCCTTGTTTGCAGCCGCTGAAAGTACAACTTTCAGAAGCCTTAGAAGGTACAATGTCACGTGGCAGCTTTCTGGCTTTGATGTGTGAGATGCGGGAAGTGCAGAAGCAATAAAATCAACCAGACCAGCTTGACGAGAAGCCTGCAGCTCAGCATCCCTCCCCTCCAAAAACTAGTTACAAAAAAATGCCAGAATCAATAAGTTACTATTATTTCATGAAACAAGTTGACCTATTGAAGCCACAATATTTTCAAAAACTGATTCTAGCCAAAACATTGTTTTATGTTGCAGTTATTCATGGCAGGATAAACAACTTTTTTATCTTAATAGCACTACATTGTCATTGAGAATTAGAAGGCAAGTGAAACAAACTTCACATAGAAGTGTAATATATCACCTTAATTATTTCAGCTGTTATTAGTCCAAAGCTTGCAGCCCCTTCTTTTCTTGCTTGACGAAGTCTTTGAAGTTCTTGGAGCCACTTCGCAATCTTCGCCCTCGCATTTGCCACTGCAGTTCTATACACAAAACCTGCATTTTCAGTACCGCCGATTGAAGGCTCAGGAAAATCATATTTCAATGCCATAAGTCGTTGGCGAATTCTTTTGATCCTTCGTTTTAATGAATGTTGGGTAGCCATGTGGCCAGTAGCAAGCGTAGAGCCTTCAGGAGCAACACCACTATTTTCGTTATTATCTTCACAGTTACTGATTGGCGTAGATCTACCTTGCCCCTCCTTAGCCACAGAACGACGGAATAATGGCGAAGACTGATCTCTGAAGTCCATTGAAGCTCTTTCCCGTATTTGCTCCAGATAAATTTTACGACGCTGTTCACTTTCTCTGAGTCTTTCAGCTAACTTCTGGGCCAGGAGTTCAGCTTCCTCCTGTTGAGCTTTGGCTCGAAACTCCTTTCTCCGCATCTGTTCCATAGCCTTTGCTTCGCGTGCAGCACTTGATGCTTTACGCTCCTCTTCCCTTCTTACCTGTGCCTCTTCCTTTTTCCTCTGTGTCTCTGCAAGGCGCTGCAACTTTTCTGCTTCAATTAGTTTCTTGCGTTCCAAAACAGCTTCTTCCCTTGCCATATCTTCTTTCTGTTTAGTTTTTAGCACTTGAAGCTTCTCAGCCCTCCTCAACTCAGAATCATGGAGTTTCTGCCGCAAGATGAGCTTTTTGTTCCCTTCATTGAGTGAAGTAATGAATCGAACTTCATTTACTTTTATGCTTTCATCGCCCGCCCTTCTCACAACTTCAGCTAGGTAAGCTTCATGTCGGGATTCACTACGCTGGTGCCGAGCATGCATCACCTCTCGCAATTTCATACTACGCACGGATTGCCATTCATTTACACGGTTCAGCTTCTCAGATGTTCGTTGAAGCTTTTGAACTCTCTCATTTTCAAGCTCACTTCTAATTCTCATTGCACGTGCATGCTTTTCTTCCGCTTCTTTTTTTAAGTCAATAGCTGACTTCTTCTTTTTCTCAGGAGACATGAGTTTGTCATGCAAAATGCGTGCACGCTCTGCACTTTTCCTACTCATGCCAGGTGAATGCGAGAAACGAGATGAAACTCGGTATGGAGTGGAGAGTACATCTTCCCAGTTTCTCTTCTCCTTCCAAGCGTCCATGGATCTCCAGGAGCTTCCATTTCGCTTTTCCTTGTCTCTTTCAGAATGTCTCTTCAAGTGATCTATTGGCTTTAGATTTTTCTCACTGTCTCTCTTGTTCTTTCCACCGACAGATGAGGAAACCCCTTCCTTAGGAGGTAATCTAGATGCATGAGAAGCAGACTTTCCCGAATCAGCGTGACTCTTCTCTCTACTCAAATTACCCAGAGAAGAATTAGATGCATTACTCTGCTTCCTACTTTTCTCTAATGATTCACTTGAACTGCTTTTTTTGTCACCTTTCTCATTATATGTCTCCACAACACTAGAACTTCCACAATAATGATCATAACAATTAGATGCCATTTTCTCCATCCCTGTAGCTGACAAACTAGCTCTTTCATGTTGAATTTTTCGAAAAGCTTCAAGAGATGAAGCCAGTATTTCTGCCCTGTGTGGTGAAGTTGTCATCCGGCGGACCTGCACTTAGAGGAAAGATCATACCATTTTAACAGTTTGTCACAAGGAAAAAGGAGTAGATAATCAATTTATCCATGTATATCTGTATGTATAATAAACATTGATAACGAGGGTGGGCGTCAGGTAGTTTGGTTTGGATTATGAAAACTTTAGTTGAATCTTCGCTTTTCAAATTTAAGATATTACAATCCAAATCTAAAGACTGGTTAGGTTTTTTAGAGTTCAATTTCGGGATCAATAGGCTTGGTTATTTCGGATTTGTGGTTTAGGCCTATAAGTTTGGCTGCTACATCCTTGCAACTGACTGCAGATTTTGAATGGCAAGTTATTGAGTATTAAACAAGTTAGGCTCGAGCCACTTGAGATGTGGAAGTTACTAGTCCGCTTAATCTGTTTTTAATGGCTTTGTTGCAAGTTAACTACATAGAGTACGACGCAATCATTTATTAATTTCATCTAGGTTGCTATCCATTGAAAATTCTGTGTTGGCTGGTTTTCCAGGATCTTTTACTTGAGATCATTGGTCACTTTTTACTGAATCCACTGACAATGTTCTATCTCTTATATTATTTCTTGTCATGGCTCCTAAATCTACGACTTTGTGAATCTTCGCTGGGTAATATGGTTAGATTCTAAGTTAGTTGCACCAAACAAGTTAGGTAACTAGCAGATCTGAAGGGTTTCGAACTTCCCAACTCTAACACTGCTACAGATGATGGACTTCCCAACCCTCTTCTTCTTCCTAAGACTCCACCACCCCCACCAAGATATGCTTCCCGCATCCAAACCCCAGTAAAGTCCGCCGGCATCTGACATCTCACGCGCCCTCATGCACCGGATTTTCCGGTGAGATCTAGCCACGCGCCGGCGCGTGTGGCATCTTCCGGTGACTTTTTCAATTTTCTTTCTTCCGACAGCCTCTTCTCGAGGCTTTTCCGAGCCTTCCCGTCTCAGTTTCACCAAAATCCGATGACTTTTTCTTTTTTCCGGCCATTAAACCCCAGAATCTGGCGTCTGTTTCCGTTGTTCACGTTGTTCAGTACCAGAAAAGCTTTTCCCTTCCTATGTTCTGTTTTCCACCCACTGTGACTTGATTTTTCTAACCTTTGAGGTTTTTTCGGTCTTTTCTCACCTCTTTTTTTTTGGGGCAGCCGCATCTAGAATATGATGGATTCTACAGAGAGAAACTCCTACTTCTCTCTAGAATCTAGAAAACTGGAAAACATGTCTTTCATCAAAGTTGCCTATTGGCCAGTCCTAGAACTTGGGGGAAGATGCCATTGAAAGCTTGACGTAGGGCAAGAGCCGCATTTCTCGCTATCTTAGGAGCACACTCTCATGTTCTCCAAATGGGTTGGTTCTCCAGAGGCTGTTAGGAACTGGGCAGCAGGGGCATGGAACGTCAAGGACGGGCTGAAAATATCGCAACTGAGGGACACACAATATCTCTTTCGCTTTGTCGACGAGTCTCAAGCTTCCGAAATTCTTGTAAGAGGAAATAGGTGGTTCGATGGGAACTTCTTAAAGCTAGACAGATGGGTGGAGCACGATAGGTGTCTAGACCCACGTTTCACCGACGAATCATTGGTGGTCAACATGGTGGGTCCCCCGTTGGTGTCTTGAATTATTCAAGAAGATTGGGGATAGCTATGGGGGTTTTATTGATGTCGCTTGCAGCTTACACAATCTCTCGCGAGTGAGGATTGTGGTGAGGAAAGGGGGAAAAATCCCTGTCTCCACTGTGGTGGAAGATGGCTACTTGAGTTACAGGGTTTGGTTGAGTCCTGAATTTCGCCCTATTTTTATGCCAAAGATAGTGGCGGAAGAAAAGGGAAGGTCAAATAGAAGGGAGGGGTGGGGAAATCAGTCTCTGAGGAGAGGGGAGGGCTCACCGGATCAGTGGACTAAGTCGGAGTCAGACGTTAGATCGAGAAGAGACGGGAGGTTTGATTTTGGGAGAAGAAGACAAAATTTCAACAGGAGGAAAAGACGTGAATGGGTTAGTGATGCGGGCTGGAACGGTAGAATGACCCGATCCTCTTCCAATTATCCTAGGGCCAGGCAAGATTTCAGCAAGTATAGGCCTGGGCCTCCTCACATGGGCCCAGCAACTTTTCTCAATTATATTAGAATTGATCCTAAGGGGCCCAGATTATTCAAGCTGCGTCTGATAAGGCTCCTAAGCATATGGGAAAGTCGTTCTTCCTTCTTCTGCCAATGGTGCTACACACACTGGTATTTCTTTACCGAGCTCTAGTGACCTGTGCCCCTCTTCGATGGCCACTGCTTCAGGGGCAGCACCGACTATAGATGGTGCTGTTATTCCGCAGCCTCCCGCCTCTGATGGACCCAGCTCCATCGCTCCCTCAGCTGCTCCTGAGCTTAGTTGTATTGAGGCTACACTTCAAGCTTCTTCTTCTTCTGGGAAGATTGTTGAGCATGCACCAACTGATATTAGTGTCAGACCAGTACTCCCAGTTAAGATGCCGCCAAGGGTTCCATGTTCTCCTCCTTCAGGCTACCCTATTGGTGTTTCTGGTCATTCCTATAACAGCGGGGTGCTAATTTCAGAGGCTGATACCCCTCAAGGAAATGGTGAGATCCTTTCGGTACCTAAAGTTCCTATTGCTACCAATGATATGATCTTGTATTCCTCCGGAAGGAGCAAGGAAAGGGTTCATATAGAAGACGCCTGTCCAATTTCGTCACGGATGGGAGGAGGGGATATGTCTTTCTGGATGGAGGATAAACTACTAAACTTTGGGAAGTTTCTAGGTGTTTCTTTTGAAGGGAAGGAAGATAGGGTGTTAGAAC